AAAAGAAAGGAAGATTAGGCAAGAGAGAGACAACAGAAAAGACACTTAGAGAAGAAACGGTACAGAAAAGAAGAGTCCAAAACGCTCCAGGGATCCCAGAGGTCGTGCCCGTGAACAGCCCACAGGATTTAAACAGAACAGAGAGATGCCGTTTGGGAGGCAGAATTTAGTGCTGTGTGGAGAAAGGTCAGAAAAGAGACACAGGAACAATCAAGCAGAGGCCAGGAACATACCATTCACTCTTGAAGGCTGATAGTGAAGGGATACAGAACACAAGGTCTGATGACATGGAGACATACTCCTGCTGCATCCTGAGCCTCCAAACCATTCTTCCACGTAACTGTCATTCAGTAAATATTTGTTCACCAGTTGTAGTTTATTCAACAAATATGGCTATTTGATTACATAAATGAGTTAGTGAATGAATTTCCATGGTCCTTGAAGGGTTATGAAAACCTAATCTTGTCCCTATGCCTATATTGTTCAGGCATGAATGCTATACTTAATACTGGTTTAGGATCTGGTTGTCAGTAGAGGCTGTAAACACAGCTCAGACCCCTGGAAAGTGGAGTCTTTTGGAGACTGAGGCTGGCCTTTTGAGCAATAACTTGAGGAAAAGGGAATCCTTTCAGGTTAGACTCAAACTTGGTGAGGACAGCAGCTGAGTGTCTGAAAATAGGAATCTCCTCTCTCGACTTTGTAAACTGTGGGCCGTAACTCCATGTGGTCACATAATTCAATAAGGGGGTCATAGAACATTTGACAAAAGTAGAAGCTTTCTAAATGCACAATGATCAAAAAAGAATCCAAAATCCAGCACTTACTGAATCTGGGGGTCTTTCAGTGCTCACCCATGTTGCGTGGTGGGGCATCACTGCAGCCTTGGTCCTAAACATCCAGCACACACATTTTGCACTGGACCCGCCAGCATACCGGGCAACACCCATAAACACTACCTGAACCACCTCAGCTCAGATTCCAGATTATTGTATCTTACGAATTGCAATATTTTTACTGTATATGTAAAGTTTCTGCTTTTACATAATGATTTAATTATAGAAAACAAAGACTCTTAATATGTTCCTTCCATCATTCCTCAGCATGAACAAATTAGTGTATCTTGTGCTGTACTGTGTTAGAAACTGCCATCTGAGTTGCTGTCTTAACTTTTATTTTTAATTTTATTTATTATTTTTATTTTATGTATATGCATGTATTACCTGCATGTAGGTGAGTGCACCCATGTCGCGCAATGCCCGTGGAGGTCAGAAGAGGCTGTCAGACCCCCTGGAACTGGAGTTATGGACAGTTGTTAGCTGCCATGTGCGTGCTGGGATTTGAACCGGGGTCGTCTACAAGAACAACCAGTGTTCTTAACCACTGAGCCATCTCTCCAGCCTCTTAACTTTCATTGAAAAAAAGAAAAAAAACTTTCAATGAATTTTGGTTTGGGGTTAGGACAGAATTTCCAACAAATTATGACATGGTCCTAAACATACTTCTGCCATTTTGTACTATAGTCAAGAGTTAATTCTTCATGTAAAATTAAACAAGTACATCCATTTCAGTAGCATGCAAATTTGCTTCTACCTTTACTAAATGGTAAAACCACATGTATACCAAACAATCTTATTATTCTTACGATTTTTTATCAACAAGTGTTTAATTTGTATACCTATATGCCTGGGATCCGATAACAATTTCTCAGAACCAAAGAGGTCTTGAGTGGAGAAGGTTTAAGGAGACTTAGACCAAGAGACTAAGAGGCACTCTGGCAAAATATATTGTTAAGAAGGGGCTTTCCACAGAGGGTATGTGGGGAGAAAGGAATCAAGACCTTCAGACAAGTGTCCACAAAGATAACAGCTTTCCTTTAATACTTGACATAAGCAACTTATAGAGAGTAAGGGTTATTCAGGGTCAGTTTCAGAGGTCTATGATCAATCTCAATTGGCCTAGTGGCTTTGGGCCTGTATATCATGACAGGAGTACACAGTAGAACGGAGTCCTCACCTTGAGTGTGAGGAACAGAAAGAAGAGATAAGAGCCCCACAGCTCCCTTCAGTTCCCTTCAAGGACACACGCCAATCGCCCAAAGACCCTCTCCAAGTCTTACCTCCTGATGGTTCTACTTCCCAATTAGACCCAGCTGGGGACTAAGTATTAACACATGGACCTTTGGGGACATTTATCAGAACCATAGCAAAAGTTATATATTGATTATGATTTTAGAAGCAGCTCTAAAGATAAGTTCTAATCAAAACAGCCACAATTAACCCATCTTTTCTCCTTCAACTGAAGCAATGTTTTATTAGTTTCATGCCAAGATCCTCAAGTTTCCCAGGTAGAAGAAATCTTGGAAATTACCCAGTCCAACCTCTCAGCTTTCATGACATCATTGTTAAAAATCAGTCACACCACTGGCTCACAATGACGGCAAGCTATAGTCACATCTCCTTCTCATGCTCATCAAGGAGTAGAGGGTGGAGTCAGTTACCCCTCCCACCCGATCAGTCCACCTTAGCTGCATGGGGAGAAGGGGCAAAGGATATACAAGCCAAGAATACCAAGAGGCACCTCTCTCACCACTTTGTGCAGCTGTCAGGAGGTCACAGGATCTGTATTTGAGTGTGGACTTTATGACACAGCCGTAAATGTGGGACGCTCACTCTTCTGCAAATAAATCCCTACCCTATGCTCTGTTAAAAAATGAATAAATATTTTTTTAAAAAAGGAAAGGACACTGGGCATCCATGGGCTCCTCTCCATGTCTCAGCCCTACTTCAGTACTCTTAAATGTACATGGCTGAGCTCTGGCTACTTGGTAAAACTAGTAAAAGTCATTCCCAGGTCTGTCTCCATCTTAAACAGATAATGATCTCTAACCTATATAACATCAGACTATGCTTAAGAGGTAAATACATTCTGATAGCATTAGCCACTGATATTTGTGGATTTTTCTGCTTCGGCAGCAGGCATTAATTGCTTTTCAAGCCACCTTTGAATAACTTAGAAACTCAGTTGCTGATCAGCTACAGCAAAGCTTCTTAAACATTGTTCACTTGTGACACCTTTTCATCCAACAAACTTTCATGTTACCATGGGCATATAGGTATATAAGATAAGTACACAAATTAAACATCTACTAATGACAAATCACAAAGTTTATTTTAAGAAAATACATGTTAAGGAATGACACTGAAAAAATATTAAAAGTTTGTTTTCTGTGATTAAAGAATTATGTTTCTATAAGAGCAAAAATTGGGGGGGGAAGGCTTAGCAGTTAAGAGCACTGGCTGCTCTTGCAGAGGACCCAAGTTCAATTCTCAGCACCCACATGATGGCTAACAACCATCTGTCACTCCAGTTCCAGAGGATCCAGCACTCTCTTCTGACCTCCTCAGGCACTATAAGGCACAGATGCACCTACCTTCCTGCAGGCAATACACTCATACATATAAAATAAAAATAATAAATTTACATTTACAAAAAGAGCAGAAAATGTAGGTGGCACATGCCTATAGTCCCAGAACTTGGGATGTGGAAGTAATCCGGGACTGCATAGTAAGTACAAAGCCACCTGGGACTCCATAAGATTCTATACAAACTTTCTTTAAAAAGAAGAAATTTTGTGTGTACATTAAAAAGAAAAGCAACACTATAACTTATAACATAAAAGAGTCTCAGTCTGAGCACAGGGAGTTTTAGAGGGTGCTGTCTGGCATGTAGGTGTGGACAATGCCAAGCACACATGTTATATGTTCAGAATCATAGCTGCAGTGAAGACCCATAATGCAACACTGGGGAGGGCTCCCAGGAATACCTCTGACTCATTTTTCACTGGATTTTACATTATCATTTTTTCCTTTGTCATTGGAAGGTCTGAAACCTGTAAATGTTGCCAGACTTTTCCAGATCCTCACATTCAGTTTCAGGGCCCCACAAGGTCATGACTCACAGTTTAAGAAGATAATGAAAAGGGGTGGAGATTAGTGTTAGAGGGCTAAAAAGATACAAGCAGTCATGGAGTTTAATGTTTTACAATACAGTAGTACCTCACTTGTCTAAAAGTTATTAGGAGTATAATTTATAAAGGCTAAAACCTCAGCCTCCTAACTGAGCAGTTAGTAGACAGCAGAGGTCTGAATCCAACCCACACTCAGCACTAAAGAAAGCTGAATTCAGCAGTCAGCTAGCCTCTATTTATTTCCTCATTATCTTGAAGTAAATAAATCAGTCTTGGAAATTTGCTTATCTCACATCAGATAAGAAATAAACAGCTGGAAGCAATAAGAAGGGAAAGGTGGAGGGCACAAAGCACAGCATTCTGAGAGTGCAAGCAAGAACCTAAGAACTCTGAAGTGCTCAACAGCAAAACACAGAGCCACATATAAATGATGGTGGAGTCTCTGCTCCTCCCGGTTTGAAGGTCTCAATGGAGGATTTCAGCCACAAAAGATCACAGCTAAGAGGACTTGGTGTCCTCAACATCTTTCATAAGCTTCCAAAGATGAGAAAGTGTGTAAGGAGTCTCTGGAGTTAATAATTTCAATGTCTAAAAGCATCTGCTTGGTCATTTGAAATATTCCATCTACGAAGACTGCCTTCTGCCCTGGGATGCCACAAAAAGGTCTCAAAAATGTGTGCCGTTATATACAGCCCACCATCTGGTTTGGCAAAATTGGTGGTTCCTCCCAAATCCATTTGGGAGCACATGTTCAACATTAAGGAAACGGGCTTTCAGAAGAAAAATCAAGATCCAAATGTCCCATGACTATGACTAGAGAGGACCTTAGGGATCACAGAGCCAAGATCCTGAAGTAAAGCTCTGGAGATCCAAGGGCATGCATTAGCCTTACTTGAGAGGGGGCTCTATACCAGGACCCCTTTTGCTTCCCCAGCCAGGACATAACTACTCTATCACACTTTCTGGGACAGACTCACACCCTCACCATCCTTTCCTAGGTCTTGAGCTCCACCCAGATACCTGGTGTACTCACCTGCAGAAAGCAGTGTCCAACTGGGGTGTGCTCTGCAAGGGTGACATTGTACACCTGCTTCCTGAAGACAGGCTCGTTGTCATTCACATCTTCCACAGTAATGCTCACCAGGCAGGTGGCAGAGAGCCGTGGCTCTCCTTGGTCCTGGGCCACCACTCTCAGCTCCACTCTCTCCTGGACCTCTCTGTCTAAAGATCTGGTAGTGCTGATCGCACCACTGTCCGGGTTGATGCTGAAAGATGGCGCACACTCTGCCTTGGGTGACAAAGCCTCAGAGTTGCAAGCAGCAGAGAGGTGGATTAGCGCATAGTTTAGCCGGGTGTGATTGGTACCCGCCTCATCAGCATCTGTCGCGCTGACCCACACCACCGCGGTGCCTGGGCCTGCGGCCTCAGACACTGAGGCCCAGTAATGCTCCTGGCTGAAGACAGGCCGCTGGTCGTTGAGATCAGCGACCCTAAGCAGCAATGTCTCTTCGGTGCTCAATGGAGGGGACCCAGCATCTGTGGCCACTAGTCTCAACTCATACAGATCTCGGCTTTCCCTGTCTAAGGGGCCCTCCACGCAAAGGAAAAACACTCCAGGAGGCCCACCCGGCTTCAGCGCAAAGGCCCCCTCTCCACCGTCCAAGAACAACGAGATGCTGCCGGTCCCAAGACCTGCACCAAGCGTCCCAGCCGCCTCTTCTTTCTCTGGGTCACCGTCTGCATCAGACACGGAGACTCGAGCCACATAGTCGCCAGGGCGGGCGCCCTCAGAGACGCTGGCCGTGCCTCCCTCCGTGAGAAAAATCAGGTGGATGGCGGGCTGGTTATCATTCACGTCCAGCACGGCGATGGACACGCGCACGGTGGCAACCTCTGGCTCGGCACCTCCATCTGTGGCTTGGACCACCAGCTGGTGCCAGGCCTGGGCCTCGCGATCTAGAGGTCTCCGCACCCTCACCACGCCGCTCAGCTCCTCCACCGAGAAGTAGGCTGAGTCCCCCGAGGGCACGCCACCTGCACTGGCCCCGACCGCTAACCGCTCACGGATGCTGTAGCGCACCAGGCCATTGGGCCCCAGGTCGCGGTCGGTGGCGTGCACGCGGCACACCTCGGTGCCCGGCGGGGCGTCCTCACGTACCGTGGTGGGGTACTCATCCTGCTCAAAAACCGGCGGGTTGTCGTTTTCATCCAGCACACGCAGGTGCACTTGCAGGCTGCCAGTGCGCCGAGGGCTGCCACCGTCCCAAGCTTCAATCTGCAGTTCGTGCTGCGCCATCACCTCTCGGTCCAAGCGCCGCAACAGCACCAAGTCCAGTGGTTCCAGGGATGGTGAGGACTCCGGCAGGGGCTGCGAGGGCGGTGGCCCAGACGTCCCGTAGCGCAGTCGGAAGAACGGTCCTGCGGGATCCTCCAGCAGGCCGTATGCCTGCCTCAAGGTGTAGCCCTGGATGCTGAACCTCCCCGAGTCCGGGTCTTGGGCATCTGGCAGGCGGAACGCAGTCCCAGGTGGGCTGAGCTCCGATACGTCGAGCAGCAGGGAGTCTCGGGGAAAGCTGGGTGAGTGGTCGTTCACGTCATTGACGTGGATCTCCACCTGCACCACCTCGCCCAGCAGCGTGGCCGCCACGAAGCTGTAGTGGTCCCGCCTCTCGCGGTCCAGGCGCCGAGCGGTGCGGATAATGCCGGTGTCCGGGTGCACGTGGAAGTCGTCCAGCAGCGGGGAGTCATCCGAATCCTCGGACAGAAAGAATCCGCCTCCCTCCTGTTGCTGCGCGGCTGGCAATCCGGCGCGAATGTCACCTACCAGCGTGTCCGGGGGGAGACCCTCGTCCACGGAAAGCCTGAGGTTGAATACCTGGGCGGACGAGCCCGAGGATGCCCACAGCCACGCATGCACGAAGAACCGGATCAGGGAGCGCTGCGCACTGGCGCCTAGGGGCTGCCCACCGGGTGACCCCGGCCGCTGACGCCCTTTGCCCATCCTCCTCCCAGAAGGGTTCGTTTGTCCGCCAGCTCCTTGGGAAGGCTCCGGATAGCTGCCAGCTTGCGGTGGGATCGCAGAACAATCCTGGAGCCTCTTCAGTGTCTGAGCAAGAGAAGAAAAGACTTTGCTTGGCAAACAAACCAACAGACCCAGGAGTTCCCGGGTTGACATCCGCAACTGCTGCGGACGTCCCCCGCCCGCAGCTCCCGCCCGCGGGGGAGCTCCAGCCAGCGCTGCCGCTGCGGCCACCTCTCCAGCCCCTGGATGTCTTTAAACGAGTCCCATCTCTTTTTCTCCCTCCTATCCCTTTTACATCTGTTCCTTGTTCTGCTTGGCTGGTTGTTTCCCCCTGGTAAAGTCAGGTGCATTATTTCTTTTGCCAAAAAGGAGGAAATTATTTAAAGCACGCACACGCGGAGGATGGGGATCAGGCGGGGAAGGGCGGGGAGGCCTCGGAGAGAGGGCGCGGGGCGGGAGGGATGGTGGGAGGAGTGGTTCCGGCTGCGGTGGAGGCGACAGCTTCGGGGGCGGTCGCTCCCCGCGGCGCCTCCCTGCACGAAGGGCCACGCAGCGCCCTCTCCGACCCGGCCAGCGACTCTCCAGTCCCCTCCCCGCGCGTGACGCGGCACTCACCACCGCAAACTCCAACCCACAGGACTGAAGAGCTATCGGGAAAGGACCGAGTTCCCGACACTGGGGTGGGTAGGGGAAGAGCAGGCCGAGTGTCTGGTCCTGCTTTGCGTGCCACGAGTGGCTGGTGGGGATGCCAGGCCAGCAGCGGGTCTGCGCGCTCCCCCTCCACCTTCAGATCGGCCCCTCCAGCAGGCCTACCCTAGGCTCCAGCCGAAGAAGGTGGAGGTTACTATGAACACACTTTGGGGAGCCAAACTTGTGTTCTCCATTTAGCCAGAGAGCTTAGTCCCCAGCGGAACGACAGACGGAGTTAAAGGCCGATGTACAGCTGGGGCCAGGATGACTGCAAAGGGCCGGGAGGGGGACTATGGGGAGGCGCGGAACTTGGAGAAACCTTCCAGAAAACCCGGGAAATCTGTGCCACACATGGTGCAAAGCACGCTTTATTGTGCCGCGCTACCATTCAGCAACGTGTGAGCGTCTTGTTACTCCCCTCTGCCACCGGGGATGACGACAGTGGATAGGGCTTGCAAACCTTTTTAGGCGGTCAGCGCCATCATAACTCCCAGCGTATTTTATGATGCTGATTTATGGCCTGGAGGCCGGATCGCAGAAGCCCTAGCGCCTCTGCTCCACCTCCCGCCCCTAAGTGAAGAAGTTTGCAGGCAGGGCGGTTGCTAATACCTCTTCCAAAGAAGCATGTGGCTGAACCCAGAGAAAATTCCAGTCAGCCTGCATAGTCGCAGGTTTCCCTCCAGTTATTCATAATAATCTGTAGAAAGTGATAAATGGCCTCTAATAAAGTATGTTCCGTGGAAGGAGTCTCTGCCCTCAGGAAAATGGCCAGCCATGTGTAGCGAAAGGTTTCTGCAATTTTGCATTTCGGCCAGAAAGAATTAATTTCCTAGATACTGTTTTGTCGTTTAGGAGGGGGCTAAAATCTCTGCACAGTGGTTCCTTGTAGCTCCAGTAATTTTTTTTTCTTATCCAAAGACAGACAGACAGACAGATAGATGATAGCAATGATAAAACAATTTACTTTGTAGTAGTTGTGTTGCATGCAAATGGAGGCATTATTTAAATGACTTTAGCCTCCTTTTTTTAGTCACTGAGGCACCCTTGAGCATTTGGAGATTGGATATGTCTTTGGAGTCTTTCTTCGAAGCCTTCTGCGATGTCACCTGGTGTAGTCTAACCTCTATTCCAATCTCTTTGTAATTCTCAACCAAGCATTCAGATTGAGTTTTTCAAGCTAACTGGAGCTGTTTTAACTCCTGTTCAGAACCTGCAAGGTAACTGCATCACACCACTGTGGAGCCAGCCATTCTGCCCACCATCTCAGAACCTTTCAGTTGTTAGAGCTTTCCTGTCTAGGTCTCCTTCTGCCTTGCAGAGCTGACTTTTTCATTCAGGTCTCAACCCAGATGTCAATTGTTGAGGTCCCTCCCCGCCCCCCACACACACACACACACACACACACACACACACACACACACACACCCCTCTAGCAGCCTTCCCCCAGGAACCCTACAGCAGCACTTGTATTTCCTTCAGGGCACCTGTTGGTGCCTGAGATCAGCTTGCTTTGTTCATCTGTTTATTCGGCCATTACAATCTCAGCCCTCTTTACAAACTTAAAGCACTGCCTTATCCTGCTGCCTAGGAGAGTATCTAACACATGGTTGGTCACTCTTCACTAAATGTACCCTGTGACTAGATTATGGGTAGGTAAAAGGATGGGCTCTTTAAAATAGAACTTTGAAACCACAACTAAGAATTAATTGACCAGGAAATGCTTCACTGCAGTGAATTTTATCTTCACATTACTGACTTTAATCATCCCAAGAAGCTTCCTGAACTTAATTTGGAACTTCTTCAACTTATCTATAAACTATATTGTCATCAAATATTTACGCAAATCTAAAAAAATGGGGTCTTTTTTTGTATATGCTAGTGACACATTCTTTACAAACAGAGGTTTAGTTTAGAAACAAGGGGGAAGTTGAGAATTTCAAAAGTCTATTTTCCTGTTGTAACATTAATTGCCTGGTGAAGATGCTGATTGATAAGGGACTGAGTGTGAAAAATAGAGGAGGTTTTGGACATGGCCTCGTTGAGTGTCTCCACAGTAGTGAAGGATTGGGTGATAGCCACTGCCTCGGTGCAAGGATGTGGCTGAGATGAGAGTGGCAGTGACCCCGAAATCCCATTTTAAGTGGGGGGCTTTTTGAGTGTCTCCACAGTAGTGGAGGATTGAGTGATAGCTACTGCAGCGGTGGCAGCCAACCCTAATGCAAGGATGATGGCTGAATGTAAGTGGGTTGCACTGGTGACTGGAACCCAAAGGGCCGCAGTTCATGCATAAAGAGAACTATGTGAGCTGGATGGTTCTAGCAGGCTGCCAGTACACAGGTGGTGTTGATATCGGAGCAGTTGCATCATCCCTGAGGGTCAGAGGTAACATTGGCTAGCAATAAGGCAAATGGGGGCTGCACACAAATGGGGGTAGGGGGCCAGGATGTCATGTGATCAACAGATGTAAGGATTTTGTTTTTGGCACAAGTAGAGGGATTGGTGTTAGTGTAAGATATCGGAGCAGTTGCATCATCCCTGAGGGTCAGAGGTAACATTGGCTAGCAATAAGGCAAACGGGGGCCGCATGCAAATGGGGGTAGGGGGCCAGGATATTGTTTGATCAATGGATGGAAGGATTTTGTTTTCAGCACAAGTATAGGGATTGGTGTTAGTGTAAGTGCCGTTGGAAAGCTGAAGGCCCTGCTGTGCCAGTAACCACCTCATGTCCATGCAGGCATGCGGACCACAGAGGTCCCAGTTATGCAAGGGAGTGTGTGCATGGGCAGTTGGGGAGCAGTCGGCGTAGAATGGCAGGGCAAAATGGGGGCAGAGGTGTGGCAGTCCCCTCTGCCTCCCCTGTTAATTTTGTCCCCAGTGCAGTGACGACTGAGGTTACATCAGTGTTGTTGAAGGTAGGGGAAAGACCCTGGAGTTTAAGCATGTAACCCGAGGAGGCACTGCCAGCATAATCTTGGATGGTCAGGTTGAACAACCCAATGCTTGAGGATGCGTTGAGCACAAAGAGTTATTTAGGGGCCAGGAGCCATTGAGTGATTCCCAGGAAGTAACTGGCAAGAGATCATGGGCTGTGGCAGGGACATGGAAGAGCAAACCAATTATCCAGATAGCAGTGAGGTCTCTGGGTCCTAGGGGTCCCGTTGGTCGGTTGCTGGTCTCACATCTCTCGCTGGAACCCATAGTGGCTTTGTTTCTGTCTGAGGAAACACACAAGCATAGCCTCTCCCTCTTGTTAACAAGGGGGCGGGCGGTTGCCATTGACATGTATGGGGTCCTTCCATCTGACTACAAGGGCAAGAGTATAGGCAGGGAGGGGACGAAGGCCCAGAGATCATGGGCCGTGGCAGGGGTGGGGAAGAGCAAATCAATTATCCAGATAGCGGAGAGGTCTCTGGGTCCTGGGGGTCCTGTTGGTCAGTTGCTGGCCTCACATCTCTCACTGGAACCCATACTGGCTTTGTTTCTGTCTGAGGAAACACACAAGCATAGCCTCGCCCTCTTGTTAAAAAGGGGGCGGGTGGTTGCCGTTGACATGTTATGGGGTCCTTCCATCTCACTACTGGTAGGGGTAGGCCTAGGTATGGTAGCCCAGTGTTTGTAGGCTGGGCTCAACCCATTCCCAGTGTTTGTAGGCTGGGCTAAACCCATTTTCATCAAAGGACAGGAAATTAATGCTGAATAGAACTTCAATTAGAACCAGGTGTGTGTCCCTTTTAGACTTGGGTAGCAAATGTTTGTAAAGTTTCTTCGAGGGTCCTATTTGCCCGCTCCACAATGGTTTGTCCCTGTGGATTATAAGGGATGCCAAGGGAGTGGCTAATTTTCCATGTTGACAGGAATGATTGGCATTGTAGAGAGGTGTAATCTGGCCCATTATCAGTTTTTAGGTTCCATGGCACTTCCATTACCAGCATTGCTGATTTGACCGCCTTAATGGCATGTGAGGCCTTTTCAATGGTTTGAGCGATGGCAAAAAGAAAGGAGGAGTAGGTGTCAACAATGGCATGGACATACTTAAGGTTACCAAAGGAGTTATAATGGGTGACATCCATTTGCCAGAGGGCATTGGGTAGGAGGCCACGCGGGTTAACTCCATATCGATTGAGAGGGCCTAAGGGAGCAAGGGGTGCACACGGAACGCAAGATTGGTCCATCACTTTTATAATTCAAGCATGTGCAATTCAAGGTTTTCGTCCTCTGTACAATATCCTTCGCTGAACATCCTGAGCAGCATTCTAGACTGATAGTTCCATTTATAGTTCCATTTTCTAAAGTTAAGACAATTTCTGAAAGATAGGAAAATTGTTGTTTTATAATGCAGGTCCCAACTATCTGCAAGGAACAGCTCAATGTTTGAGCCCTTTGAGGGAAGCATCTCAGTGTAACTGGCAGGAGCTCTGGCTTTGAAGCTTGCTAACCCTCATTCTGCTCTATAAAGTGGGGCAAGTTGCTAAAAACTTAAGTTTCTGATCCTTTTCTAAACTGGGGTTGCTGTGTGTACTTAACAAGGATATGAGGCTATGTGTGTGGATTGCAGGTAGGAAGCATTCAGTAAATATTGTTTCT